TGTGTGTGTGTGTGTGTGCTGGGTGCTGTGTAGCCATCTCTCCCCCTAGTCCGTGTGTGTGTGTGCTGGGTGCTGTGTAGCCATCTCTCCCCCTAGTCCGTGTGTGTGTGTGTGTGCTGGGTGCTGTGTAGCCATCTCTCCCCCTAGTCCGTGTGTGTGTGTGTGTGTGTGTGTGTGTGTGTGTGTGTTTGTGCTGTGTAGCCATCTCTCCCCCTAGGGTGGTATTTTCTTTCTAAACCTTGTAGGACACAGGTCAGTCTGGCTGGCTGGGCCGAAAAATCACTTGACTCTCGGTTGTCTGTGGAGTGGGCACAGACTCCAGGCACTCGCTGCCCCCGATCCTGCAGGCATTGGGGGCCTTGCCGTGGCGTCTCAACCATGCCGTCATCTACCCCACCTCCCCCCCATGTCCATCTGACACTGGGAGCGAATGCGTTCACCTAGAGTAGCCTTATTGCTCGGGTGACTGACGTTTCACAGCAATCTGGGAATGCCCACTTGGTGACCATAGGGCAGGTGGGACCATTGCTGCCCTTGAACTTCTGGGCTGCAAGAGGTAGCCAGAGACAGCTACCCAGACTGGGCTCTGCACAGACCCTTCTCTGCTGAGAAGGGGCAGCAGCGAGGCCCTTGTGCCTGGAGGGTCTGGGTGAGGAGCAAACAGCCAAGGACAGCGACCCGCGCTGGACCCTGGGCCTGCCTGGCGTCTCTTGCCCTTGGTCCTGTGTGGCCCTGTGCGTCCCAGGCCGGCTGTGAAACCCACCTGCTCCGAGCCCTCAGCACAGTCGAGCGGAGTAGAGCTGTGGGTGCCTAGGTTCCCAGTGTCCCCGTGCTCTGTCTCCTAGGTCTGGAGTCCCCGCGCCCGAACATCATCCTGGGGCTCGTCATCTGTCAGAAAGTCAAGCGCCCCTCCAACACCAGCGAGGCGGACAAGGTGGATGAGAAGCGCAGCCGAGTTCAGAGCCAGGAAGACGGGGATGCCCTGACCTACCCTAAAGCCGCCCCTGTGCCACAGGCCGACAAGAAGGTCCCCAAGTATCAGCTCCAGGCCCCAGACTCCGTCACCAGCACCACACCCCCTGGGTCCCCGCCGCCACCCCCACCGCCCCCACCCCCACCGCCCCCAGAGACCCCGGGCACCCCAGCCTCTTCGTCTTCACTCAGAACGGGAGCCCCACCCACTGCTCCGGCTCCAGCTGCACCCCCAGCTGTCCCGGCCACCGCCACAGCCCCCACACCCACCTCGAAGTCTGCCTCGCCCCTCGAGCACATCCTGCAGACCCTCTTTGGGAAGAAGAAATCCTTTGACTCCGTCTCTAGAGAGTCCTCGGAGCCGCTTCCGGCTGGCCCGCAGGACTCCCAACCCAAGGGGGACAGCACGCTGGCAGCAACCCCACTGCTGGACCCCATAGTGCAACAGTTTGGTCAGTTCTCAAAAGAGAAGGTTCTGGAGGAGGAGGAGGACGACCGTCCCTACGACCCCGAGGAAGAGTATGATCCCGAGCGAGCCTTCAGCACCCCCCTCCCCCAGCCCCATGTGGCCGCCGAGCCCCAGCCCTCCGAGCCGGAGGACGTGGCCTACGACCCTGAGGATGAGACCATCCTGGAGGAAGCCAAAGTTACTGTTGAAGACCTACCCAACCGGATGTGTGCCGACGCCCGAGGCGGGGAGCGGCCAGCGGAGGGCACTGCGGGCACAGCCCCGCCCTCCCTGGTGCAGCAGCAGAAGCTGCTGGAGGAGCTCAACCAGCAGATCGAGGAGCAGAAGCGGCAGCTGGAGGAGCAGGAGGAGGCTCTGCGGCAGCAGAGGGCTGCCGTCGGCGTGTCCATGGCCCACTTCTCCGTGTCAGACGCACTGATGTCGCCGCCTCCCAAGGCCGCCGCGACGTTCCTTCCAGAGCAGCCGGCCCTGGCCCCTGCCACATGCCAGGCGGCCCAGGGCTCAGAGGCTAGGCCCAGCCGAGACCCGAGGCAGGCCAGGAGACTGGCCACCGAGAGCGGGGAGGGCGAGGGGACCTCAAGGCCTTCGACCAACCCCGGGGGTGGCCTCCCATCTCCTAGAGAGGACCGTGGGGAGCAGGCCCCGCCAGGGCGCAGCCAGGACCCCCAGCAGAGTGTGCACCTGGAGCCCCCAGCCAGGCCGCCCACTGAGCCCTCTGCCAAGCCAGCACGCAAAGTCCTGCTGCCCACGCCCCCCAGCAGTGCCTTCCAGCCCCCGAGCTTTGGGGCTGCTCCTGGAGGACGGGACCCCATGGCGGGCACAGTGTTTGCCTCGCAAGAAAAGGCACTGGGCCTGCCTCAGAGCGAGGGTCCAAGGAGCCCTCCATTCCCAGAGAGAAACGGCCGCCCTGCTGCCGAGCTTGAAGGAGAGAGGGGGCCCCAGCCCAGGCCTGGCGAGGGCCCTCCAATGATACAGAAAGGCGGAGGACCCCCACCCCAGGGCCAGCGGGAGCATGCCCCTCTCGCCTTTGCAGTGCTAGGGCCCCATGGCCCTGGCTTCCCAGGACCCAGAGGCCCCGTTCCCTCATTTCCAGAAGAAGGGGTCAGCAACGATGGACCACGGGGTCCCCTGCCTGCCCGGTTTGGGGCCCAGAAGGGGCCTATCCCCTCCTTGTTCGCAGGCCAGCAGGGGCCACCTTATGGGGACCCCAGGGGCCCCTCCCCATCATACCTGGGCGGGCCTAGAGGGGGTGCACCATCACAGTTTGAAGAGCGTGGTGACCCCCACGGGGAGAAAAGAGACTTCCAGGATACCCCATATTCAGAGATGTCTGGCCCACCTCCCCAGTTTGAGGGCCAGGAGCCAGCCCCCTTCATGGGGCCACGAGGCACAGCCCCGTTCCAGTTCACAGGGCAGAGGCGGCCACTGCCGGCGCAGTTTAGGGGGCCACGTGGAGGGCCCCCGCCCTCCCAGTTTGGAGGCCAGCGAGGCCCACCCCCTGGGCACTTTGGAGGCCCCAGGGGGCCCCATCCCAACCAGTTTGAAGGGCCCAGAGGCCAGGCCCCAAACTTTATGGCAGGACCTCGGGGGGCTCCCCCCCAGCAGTTTGAGGAGCCGAGGGTAAACTCACCACCACGATTCTCGAACCAGAGGGCGCCAGCCCCGCTCCCATTTGGGGGTCCTCGGGGCTCTGTACCCTTCCTAGAGAAGAACGAGCAGGCTCCGCCACGCTTCCACTTTCAGGGCCAGCCCCCCCAGGGCACGAAGCCAGGCCCAAGGCCCCTGCTGGAGCTGCCCAGTCACCCACCTCCCAGGAAGGACCGCTGGGATGATGCGGGGCCTGCCGCCAACATGGTGGCCAGCGGGCCTGCGCCTGGCCCCGAAGCCGAGTCATGGCCGCAGGCTGACTTCCGAGAGGGCAAAGGGCACGAATACAGGGCCCAGGCCTTCGAGGGCAGGCTCAGGGAGAAGACTCTGGAGGAGGCTGAGGCCCAGCCGGTGGATGGCCGGCAGGGCCGGGCCTTTGAGGAGCGGCGTCGAGAGCGGGAGCACGGGAAGGCCTGGGAGCGGGACCGTGGCAAGAACTGGGGCCGGGACTGGGACAGGCACAGAGACAAAGACCCGAGGAGCACCAGCAGGGACAAGGACAGGGAGGCGGAGCGCAGCCGGGAGTGGGAGCGCAGCCGGGATCGAGGTAGGAACCGCGGCGACCGGGACCGGAGGCGGGACAGAGACCGCTCCAGGAGCAGGGACCGCGACCGAGACAAAGCCCGAGACAAGGGCCGGGACCGCAGGGAGAGGAGCCGCAGCAGGGAGCGCCCCCGGGAGCTGAAGCCCGACACCCCCAGGGGCCAGGACACGGCTGGGCCTATCCCTGCTGCCCAGTCCTAGTGGCCTGGTGCGGGTGCCCACGGCTGCCTGTGCCCGGGGCGCCCAATAGACTACTCAGCAGAGATGCTGTTTCAAAGCCAAGTTTATAAAGCGTGTTGAACAAAACGTTTTGAAATGACTGTGAACTTAGGTGAAGAACAATATTCAGGACTCCCACGGTTACTGTGCTTTTGTGTCGAACACTGTCCTAGGGAGTTTCCCACCTTTTCAATTCTGATGCTTTTGTAAAGATCTTAAGAACTCTTAATATTTCCGTTTAAAATGACAAATGGGAACGTCTACAAAAGCATATTGCTTTCCAAATTATAAAGTTATCTTTTCTGATGACTTGTAATTGTAAGGGATTTCAGTGGACCTTAAAGCCATATTCTAGCGATATCATTCTCTGCTGCCAGCGTGCTGTCAGCAGCAGCTCCTCCTGCCGTCTCTGGAGGGCTTCCCACAAGGGCAGTCGCAAGGCGGCCTGTGCAGGAAAGTGGAAAACAGTATTATTAGTTTGTATTTGGAAAGTGGAGTAAACAAAAGTTGTGCGTGCATTTTTATGGTTGTCGTAAAAAGAAATTGGAGTTACCAAATTTCAGTCAGGGAAAACAAGCCGTATTTCTTCAGTTTGCTCAGTTTTTATGTATTGTCTATAAATTTCTTCCAAGTGTGATTAAAAGCAACAGCTGAGTAGAATTTATGTTGTAAATGACGATGGATTGATGTTTAAATTTTACCATCCTCAAGAAAGTGAGAAAATAAACCAATGAAGTATGCTTTAAAGAAAGGCCCGGGGGTGGGGGTAGGTCTTTGTTTTGCATAATCAGGAGCTTTTTGTGGGTGGGATTTTGTCACCTGGGCAGTTCTTCCCACGGCTCAGAAAGGTCTGCTGGGCCTCAAACTGGTCACAGCCGGCAGCTGATCCATTTGAAGGTTGGTCATTGAAAATGGCACATTTATCTCCAAGTCTGGTCCTGGTTCAGGAACTACAGAGGAAATTGGAAGGTTTCTCTGAAAACCCACCCTGCCCCTTCCGTGGGGATTTTCAAGTTCCCAAGTATGAGATAGAAAACCTTGCTGGTTTATTTGACTGTACCAACATACTTTGATAACTTTTGTGTTCTCATAAACTGCAACTTTGGCGAGTGTAAGACTAGCAGTCCCTTCGTTCTTTGGAGTCTGGCCCCGCTGCAGCACGCAGTTCTCAGTGAGGAAACCCTGGATGGCGTCTCTCCCAAGTGTCAGCAGGTTCAAGTCGGTCCCCAACATGTAGCACGCAGTGAAGGTTTTTTTTTAACATGTAAAAACTCAAATTTTGTAATTTAAATACCCAAATGTAAAAATCAAGTGTGTTTCGTTAGGTTTACTTGATAGAAATTTCTGTATGTAAATTGTATTTTATATTGCAAACTATTAAAACATGGAACTTGACAGGCTTTGTCACTTGACCGGAGTAACACCCACAGGAAGTCTGTGCTTTCAGCTCGTCCTCACTCCACTTCCTTTCTTGATGCAGGACGTTGGGGGCTCAGCCTTCTGTGCCTGTGGGTCCCCAGCTGGGCCACAGCCAGGTGACTTGGCCCTACTCGTCGTCTGTCCGGCAGCCAGACTCGGGGAAGGGGGGGGCGCCCGGAGACCATGCCCAGGGAGTAGCTTGGGGCTCCCCTCCCTTGCTTCTTCGCCTCTGAGTTCCTGCAGGTAATAGGACTAAGAAGGAGGTGTCCAGGGTAACTGACTGTGAGCCAGATGCAGACCTCCTACAGCTCATGGGGTCATCGAGTGGGGACAGGAAGCCTGTAGCCCACCAAGATTCTAGCCATCCAGAACCACCCAGGGCAGTAGGAACTACCAAGGTCTGAGCAGGAGCCAGGTTGTTGCCAGAGCCTGGAAGGCCATGTCTTGGCAGAGCTTGGTCAGGGCTGACCCTCTAGAGGCAAGGAAGAGAGTTCCCACTATGCCTGAGTCCCTGGAGGTTTCTGGGGGACAGGTCCTGAGAGGACCACCCTTGGCCCGTAGGGTACATAAGCTATAGGGACGGACGCACGACTGGGCTAGGGAGGGAGTCCATAAGGGTCCAAGGCAGAGTAGATGCTCTTATATGACCAGCAGGCCAATAGGCACAAGTGGAGAGCGGTTCTTTGCCCAGAACTTCAACTGGCTGCCAGGCCTACGTGTCACTGACCCTTGGCTTGTAAACTTGGGCCGGAATGGGGCTTCTTGACCACCCTGTGGTGCGCTCACCCCAGCGCAGTGGGACTGCTGTACTTGCCCGTCCAAAGAAGTGACTGGCTTGAGTTCAGCTTGAGCCAACACTTGAGGTGCAGACAGGGCCCAGGACCCACAGCAGCTGTGTTCTCACCAGAGAAGCCCCAGGGACACAGCTGTGGTTGCTGTCGAGCTGGTGCCCAGTACCGCACAGGCCTCTCATCTGCACCCCGCAGAGGCAGTGCTCAGGATGTGGCCACAGCTATCTCCCGGGACAACACTGGGCTCTCAAGGAGGATAATAGCCCATGGGAGTGGGGTACTCTACCTGGCCCCCCTCTTCCACACTGCACCCCTCAGCACAACCAGCCCAGTAACGAGCCAACAAACAGTGCCCCAGGGGTGGAGGCAGCCACGGCCGCAGCACCAGCAGGGAGTGGTTATGAAGGGCCCTGGCCAGGGGGAGAGGAGAGGAGAGTGGGGGCGGGGGTGGGTGGCGATGAGAGATGCAAGCGTTTTCCAGTCCAGCCACAAGCCCAGACAACTGAGTGGCACGCAGGGCAAGGTGTAGTCCGTTCACACTGTAGAGCCTTGAGGGCCAAACACAGAGGCAGACCGAAAGCACCAGTAAGTACCATTCACACTTTGATACATTGTGTTTTTCTCACTGCATGCTTCATTGAGCTTCATTGTTTCATACAAGCAGAGTTCTATACACACTTTTGTATCCTTCCACTTGTCATATCTTGGTAATTCAAAAGGCACCAAACACCAGGAGTAGTACTTGGTATTTACGCGTGGTTTCCAAAGTATGTTTTGTTTTAGAAGAAGACATGCTCCTGCCTGGGATAATAAGATCCTGGTGGAGCAGCCACAGCACCAACTGCTAGCCCAGAGGTTCAACCCCACAAGCTCCTCCGCGGGAGAGCGATGCGGGCATGGGCTTCACAGATGACAGCATTGGAAGCCCTGGGGCAGTTCTGTTCTGTTCTCTAGGATCCCTGTGAACCAGAATTGACCAGGTCAGCCAGTCTGGGGCTGGAAGGACAGGGAAAGGAGAGGCAGACAGGAAGAGGAATGGAATGGTGACCAAGAGCCTCCACAAACCACTGCCTCCTCTGCCTCGGGACCAAAAGAACTGGATGGTATCCGGCTACTATTAAAGTGTTGGCCAAAGATTCCATAGAAGAGTATTGACCGCAAGGGGCAAGAGCAGTCGAGTATTTCAAATTCTCATGGAACCAGGCTCCTCTCTGGAGCATAGCAGGTGGGCGAGGCCCTGAAAAGACCCTGTGACAATCTCCAAACCTTATTAAACCAAAATTATTGCTTGAGATCTTGAAACCTGTGGGAAACAGAACGATTTCTCCCAAGTTATCTCCCCCAAATATATGCCAAACTTAAGTACTTTCTGCCTGGTCTTGGCACAAGGGACTCCATTTTGAATCCAGTACCTTCTTGGTTCTCAGAACTCACCTCTCATGGGCCTCCCTCACATCGGCCTCCCCTCCCCTCGCTGAAAACCAGATATCCCCGAGAAAGAATGTTCTTTGAAGATGTTTACTTCACCTACCCTGGTACCTATAGATAAGATTAACGACCACTTCCCTGCATCCCTTGAAGATGTGTTTATTCCACCCATCCCGGACCTATAGATAAAATTAATGAGCGCTTCCCTTTGAAGTCCCTGTGTGCAGCTGTGCCTGCCACCAGGGGATATAAAAACGCAGCCAGAAATTCCCCTCGCGCGGTTTCATTAGCTCAATACGTGAGTTATTGAACCCGTCCGCAAGCTTCTCAATAAAGCCTGCTTCTAAAACTTTACCAATTGGACCTTTAATTCCGCTTCGCGCCCCAAAAACCCTTACACTTTCTGCATGTGGTGAGCGACTATACACCTGGAGGTCAACAGAAGTAGGTATTCTCCCCAGAACAATCAGACTGTATAGTCTATCCATAAGGAAGAGCCCAGGGAGGTCAAGCCCACTCAAGGGTGACCAAGGTTAGGCCACCATCGTGAATCTAGGGTCTGCCCATCTTGTCACCCCTAGTCCCTCCCCTTCCTATCACGTGTACAACCCTAGCTCATCTCCTTCCTGTTAGGCCTATGCCCATTGTACATCCCCCTCCTATTGCTCCAATTGCCTATTTTACAATCCCTTCCTGTGGCGTGTGTCTTTACCTGTAATTATGAGGCATGACGCCCCAAAAGAGATATAAGCCTTGGTTAGCAATAAATCTCTCTCCTGCCCACCAGTCTCCCATCTCCATGTGGACCACCCAGCGGGGCTGAGGTGAGCATGCTACCATGAACTGTGTCTGACTTCTTTATTTTATTCTCCTATCTCTCTCATTCTCTATGACTTTATTATAATCTTTATATATCTCAACTGTACAATTGCACCTATGGAACCTGCAATTAGTTGTAGGGGGCTGGCCTCCCCCCCTCAAATGGCACCCAACGTGGGGCAGTAGGAAAAGAACTTGTGTTGAGTTATACCGTGTGTAACAATTGTACGGCCCCACTGGAATGTAGAGTGAATGGGAAAATTGTGTGAAATGAGGATCCGGTGTGGTGATTGGCAGATAAGTAGTGGAAATAGTGAATGAGTGTTTTATTTTAGGTTTTATTTAAATCATTTTATTGGGGGCTTGTACAACTCTTATTGCAATCCATATATACATCCATTGTGTCAAGCACATTTGTACATTTGTTGCCCTCATCATTCTCAAAACATTTCCTTTGCCCTTGAGCTCTTGGAATCAGCTCCTCATTTTACCCCCTCTCTCCCCGCTCCCCCCTCCCTCATGAACCCTTGACAACTTTTTTTTCCTTTTTTTTCCCTTGACAACTTATAAATTATTTTATCATATCTTACACTGCCCGACCACTCCCTTCACCCACTTTATTGTTGTCAATCACCTAGGGAGGAAGTTATATGTAGATCTTTGTAATCAGTTCCCCCTTTCCACCCCACCCTCCCTCCACTTGAATGAGTATTTCAAAGAGAACAATGGGGCAAGCTCATCCACTTACTGAAAAGACATTTGTAAAAGTAACAAGGAAAAAGATGCGATGTTTTCTAAAAGTAGTAAAAAGGTATAATCCATGGTTCCAAGAGGAAGAAACTTTTGATCTAGAGACTTGGGAGGAAGTCATTGTAAACTTAAAGGAAGCACACGGAGATGGGGAGAATATTCCCATGGAGACATGGTGTCTGTGGGTTCAAGTTAAGATGGTTATAAAACCTTGGCAGGAGGAAGAGAAAGAGGATTATCAGTGTAGTGAGAAGTCTTGTGTCTATCCAAATTTAGAAAAGCAAGCTAAAGTCTCTGAGTATGAATTAAGAATGAAACTTTAGGAAAAACTGAAGAGGCAGGGATTGATTCTAAAGGAGGCAGGCCTCCCACCCTAAAGGAATCCTCATGGCCAAAGCCAAATGCCCGCAGGGGGCTGCAGCCTTCAAAGGTTTTAAAGGTGATAAAGCACTAGAGGAAGCTAATTCCAAGATCCAAAGTGAGGCTATTAAACAATCCCAGGATGCTCCCTTACTTTCAAAGGTAGAGAAACAAAACCAGCAGAGTAGTGAGAAGCCTCTGAGAGACCCAAACTTAAACTTGGTGAGAGGCAGGCAGAATGGGTATCAGGCAGATGAGATTTTAGGCAGAGCTGAGAAAACTTAAGCCTGAATCAGAACAGGAAATGATATTAAAAGCATCTGCTCTGCTCCCCTGTTGGAATTTAGTGTAAAGACCAGAGATTGTAAAACAAGCCAGTGCTGTAGGTAGAGAGATTGGCTCCATAGAAATGCAAACTAAGAGAGTTAACACAGAAGATGAAGTTCAGGAAGTGGAGCTTCAAGATAGACCGGTTGAGAATACCAACTCAGAAAACAGAAGCAAAGTAATGGAAAGCACCTTACTTTCAAGGGTAGAAAGGGGGATCGCAGAAGGAGATTTCGAATTTAGGTCTGATCCTGTTAGAGTTGTTAGCAGCCAGCCTTATGGGAAACACCCACAAGGAATTCACAGTGCTTTCCCCTTTGAGTTGCTAAAACATCTCAAGCAGGCTGTCAAGGACTTTGGCCCAGACTCACATTTTGTAATTAGCATGATAAGGTCTTGAGCAGAATCTGAGAGCTGAACCCCTGCAGACTAGAGAGCCTTAGCGAAAATATGGCTTTACCCTTCAGAATTTTTACAATATCGTATGTGGTGGGATTTTAC